TTTCATTTTTTTTTTTGCATGTATCTGTCCAATTATTGAGGAGACTGTCTTGACTCCATTGTATGTTCTTGCCTCCTTTGTCTAATGTTGAGTGTAATGGCTTGGGTTGATTTCTGGGGTCTCTGTTCTGTTCCATTGAGCTATATGTCTGTTCCTGTGTCGGTACCTGGCTGTTTTGATTGTAGTGGCTTTGTAGTATAACTTGATATTTGGCATTGTGATTCCTCCAACTTTGTTCTTCTTTCTCTAGATTGCTGCAGCTATTCGGGATCTTTTTTGGTTCCAAATCCATTTTTGGAGTATTTGTTCTAGATCTGTGAAATATGCTGTTGTATTTTAATAGGGATTGCATTGAATTTGTAGAATATCTTGGATAGTATGGACATTTTAATGATGTTGATTCTACCAACCTGTGAACACGGGATATTCTTTCACTTGTTTATATCTTCTATGGATGGTAAACTTTGAGAGGACAAAGACTGAGTTTGGTATTCTTCAGCCACCTTCTCTGTGGTTACCGCAGCACTGTATATACAGTTGATACCTAGATGTCTCAGTCGTGGTACTTTGGGTTGCAACTACCAGAAACTCACCCCCCAAAAAACCAATAAAATAGACCGTCAAACTACAGTGGGAAGGCTGGGAAGTGTTGGGGGCGCGGTTAAGCAATCAACCAGAGGATGTGTGTGCATGCATGTAAGCAAACATAACTAATGGACGCAAGACATGAGGGGGGAGTGGTGAGGGCATATGGGAGGGGGGAAAGGGGAGGTCACGGGAAGGTCAATGGGGGAAAAAATGAGATATATGTACTACTATTTGTAATACTTTAAACAATAAAATAAAATAATAATAAAATAAAATAAAAAGAAACTCATCCTAACACATTTCACAGAATAAGAGGAATGTCCAGAAAATACTAGTAGAGTGCAGCTCCTTCTAAGGGTCGGAAGCCAGTCTCATGCTGCTCCCTCGGCCTCCTCGAGAGAGTGTGGCCACTTCTCTGCCTTCTCTGCTCTCTCCCACTCTTCAGCTGGACCAGCCTGGCCACCAGGCCAGCTTCACGTTATGACCCAGCCTGTAGCAGAGACTACAAGTGCAGTGGTTCAGAACTTAGCAATGCACTCAAGTCACCTGGAGAGATTTAAACTTCTAAAAGCCTAAGCCCACATTGGACTTCTTTGTGATCAGAACCCAGAAACTTTCTTTCAGAAGCACCCCAGGTGATCTTGATACAATCAGACTATCAACTTGCATTAAAATTGCAAGTTTTTTATTTACCTCTCCTCCTTCCACCCCCCCTCTAAATTCTCAGGAGAGAATCTGGCCCCTCGTGGTCAGAGGACAGGGCTGTGGGTGACATGGGTGGGGGCCACACAGGGCTCTGCTGCTCTGAACCAGGTGCCCCTCTGCTCCCCTGGCAGACTTGGCACTTGTCGGTGGACAAAAAGGTGCTCCTCTCCTGGGTTTTAGCTCTTCGCCCCTCTGGCAGGTACCTCCTCTCAGTGTGCCCTCTAACCCGCTGGCTCGGACACAGCTGTGACAGTGGGACATTTCCCAGAGGAGGGTGTGGCTGGGCAGATCCCAAATGGTTTCTCTCTTCAGCATAAGCCTCTTGTTGGATAAATATCCTCTTGCTAATTTGTTGTTTACTTGTTTTTAATTTTTACAAGAGTTTGAGTCAAACTGACCACATATACCAGGAGCAAGATCTCAGATGCTCCCAAAAAATGACAGTTCTGCAGCTTTTTTATGCATCTGAAATTAAGGGGGAATCTAAGAAAGATTACATGAGGATGGGAAAAAGCAAGACGGGGATTGGATTACAAAATCGTTAACAAGACTGTGCTCTCTTGAGGGTGGTTATGGCTTATATCAAATGTGTGTTAACCTAGATGCATAAAAATGAAAATAAAGACATAAAGCAAAGATAAACCTTTTACTAAAATTTTTTTTAAGTCTGGGTCTGGCTACCCACCATTACCTGCCACTTAGGAATTTATGATCAGATCACATTGCAAGGATACTTCCCAATTCAGTTCCCCATTTGGTCATAAATCAGTCTAAAGAATATGTTGATGACCAAACTTTTAGTTGGATCATCTAATCTGTAATTGGCTTCTTTCAAAGTGTGCCGCAGAGGTTGAAATTAACATATTAAGAATTCTGATTCATGGCATCATAATAATTCATGGGGCCTAAAAAGTCAAAATTGTACATTGATATTAGCAGAGTTCTTGGAGCCGAGTACTCAACCAAATATCCTTAAATAGCTTCTCTATTTGTGAAGAAAATACATTCCAAGAGCAGGTCTTCCCCCTACTAGGGGATTGAGCCCGCAACCCGGGCCTGTGCCCTGACCTGGAATTGAACCGTGACCTCCTGGCTCATAGGTTAACACTCAAGCATCGAGTCAAACGGGCTGAGCAAGGATAAGAGTTTTATAAGAGTTTATTTGAGCCAATCTGATGGCATATGCCGAAGCAAGATCTCGAATGCTCCTCGTTCATTTTAATTTAACAGATGTTTTCTGTGTGCTCACCTGGTGCTGGGATATAGCAGTGAACCAGACAGCAGAAGGCCTGCCGTGGCAATGAGCAACCAGTGCACTTCTGGAGACAGAGCGGGTCTTTCCAAACATGCAGACCCGGGGAATCGGGACTCCAGTGTAGGGGCCAGACCAAGTTCCACCTGGCCTACCCAACCACCCAACCCTCCCTCCCCCACAGCGTAACAATTAGATTGACTGTCCCAGCCCCAAGGGAAGGGATGCAGCGAGGAGCAGGGGCAGCAGAGGCTGAGAACTCACAGGTGCCGATGCTCAGCACCCACAGGGCCCACGGGGGCTGTAAACCACTGGCCAAATGCGCTGAGAGGAGACATGCCCTCTGCGGATCCAGCCATACTTTCAGACACGACCCTGCTCTATACCCTCAAATGATGGCAAATTTTCCAGTGTTGACACTAGATTTGATTGATTTTGTTTTTTCTTTTTACTCTTCTGAATTGTGAAATGGAACACATTTTAGAAAAAAAATGCATAAAACATAAATGTATAGGGCAAATACCCATCCCTTAAACCACTCAAGAAAAAAAATATCACCCCAACCCCCAACACACCCTCTTCTGTGACCCTCTCCAATTTCAACCCCTCTCCTGACTTTGAGGGAGATCTCTTCCTGGCCTTTCTTTTTCCCCCTTGCTTTTCTTTATAGTCTTACTACTTAATGTATGCATGGACTTTGTTTTATTTATCTGTTTAGTAGCTAAGAGTCATCCCAGGTCATGTCCGATAACTAAGATGGAGAGCATTTTCCCAAAACAAAAGGCCAGTGCTCCAACGCAGGCAGGATGGTTACCCTGTCATGTGGATGGTGAACGAGGCGGAGTGTGGGAAATTCCAAACGTCGTGTCCTGGCCACACCACCGTCCCTGTACACTCTGGTTTCTCCGTTTCCTGTTGGTCTCATTCTCCTTAATGCATAGCCTTGCCCTGGGGAATTGCATTATCCCAGCTTTCATCTGCTTTGTTTCTTCTGGGGAGTGGCCCTGAGTGGCCCCAGGGAGACTTTGGTGAGGAAGGCCTGCACTTAGACTTTGGTGAGGAAGGCCTGCACTTCGCTGGTCCGGCCTCTCCTCCGCCGGGTGGCCTCTGGGGAGGGGTTCCCTGCGGAGGGAGAGTGTGGAGTTACATTCTGGGGCAAATGCATGAAAACTGGAGAATTCTCCCTCAGGGTTTTCACACTCAGAACGTGTTGCCTGTCCAGCTGGAGTGGTGTGAGCTCGGACCTGCCCTGCTGAAGGCAGGATGAACAAGGGGACTGTCCTAGATTGTAAGGACCAGCATGAACATGAGCTTGGTGGGTCAGGCGTGGCCAGGGTCACAATGTAAAGCGCCTGTGGAGATGGCTAGACTGGACTCTAAATCACTATACAAAATAGAAAACTGAAGAAAAAACTCTGAAAACCTAAGGCGTGATGAAGTAGTACAGCATAACATAGAGGACTAAAAATGGAAAGTAATCTAAAAGCCCTTTACTGTCTTACCTTACATGCTTTATACAGGTAACAGGTGTTTTTAGTGAAAAAGAACTTGAAAGTCCTTAAACATCATTCATCCCTGGCTGGTTTGGCTCCGTGGATAGAGCATCGGCCTGCAGACTGAAGGGTCCCGGGTTCAATTCAGTCAAGGGCACATGCCTAGGTTTGGGGCTCAATCCCCAATAGGGGGCATACAGGAGGAGCTGATCAATGATTCTCTCACATCATTGATGTTTCTATCTCTCCCTCTCCCTTCCTCTCTAAAATCAAATAAAATATATTTTTTTAAATAACAGTAAATAATAAGTTTTTTTTTTTTAATCACCCAATTCGTCATCCTCATTTATAGAAAAGAAGCACACAACAGTTTAACTATCAGATTAATGTTTCTAATAATATTTGCTTAGGCCAATATCAATTGAGTTTACATTTCCCAGTTACATGCCACCTGATGTTGACATGAGGCAAACTAGAGACAGACCAGACGGCAGCTGAAACGTCCTCTGGACCCGCTGCACAGGAGAAAGCGGGTGTTGGCACTACATTTGGGGTTGGCACATGGGCCCTGACCAGGTGCTCGGAGCCAGTGCAGACGCCACGTCAGGACTGACCGCCGGGGTCATCATCCTCACAGGCGGCATATAAAACTGCCGGGGGGTGTGGGGGGCCCATTCCGGCTCAGCCTGTGTCTGAGCTCCACCAGCCTGGCTCCCTGAGCAGAGGGTGTCCCTTGTCAGCCCGGCTCCCTGCTGACGGGTCTAAAGAGCCAGTATGCCTGCAGCTTTAAGGTCCTCTCCATTCTCCAGTGCATAGGAGAACGTGTTAGGACTTCTGTTTTGGTTGTAATCTAAGCTGAAGGTAACGCCAGGTAGGCATTAACAGATGTGGTTGGCATTAAGCAATCTAGTAAAGCTTTTCCTCGTGAAATTAATGTTTCATCTTGGTGATGTTTCTGACAGGCTCAGAAGAAATGTCTGAATCAGACTTGCCCCATTTCTGCTTCCAAGATCCCCGACGGCCTGAGGCAAGCACAGATTCCTGGGCTCCTGGGCACCGCACTGCCAGGTCAGGAGCCTTCCTCGCCAGCTGCCCTCGCTGGTCCCTGCCTCCTGACCCCAAGGACACTTACCACGTCCCTCCTGCACGCAGCCTTTCCGCCTCACTGCCACCTCTACTCCGATCATTCCTGTCCTCTGTATCCTTTTCGCGTCGCACCTGTAGTATCATTTGTACATCACTAAGCAAGAAAGAGGCGCTTCTAATTAAATCATGTGAAAAAATGTGCTGCTTAGAAACAACACAGCCTCGTATTCTGTGGCACAGGTGTCTGTGATTACCTTTGTGCCGCTTCCTGTATGTAAATCTAGAATCCCACCGAGACTAAAGATATTGTGCCAGTGCCTCCGCTTTCTCTAAAGCTTCAAACACCTGCGCTGCTCAGGAAGCACCAGCAAGACAAACGCAGGAGCGCTCCCCGTCAGTTCCCTACGCGGGCCTCCCTTTCCTTCAGTCGGGAGTGTTTTGCGTTTTGGTAACGCTGACAGGTTACTAGCTTGAGGCCTATTCCTCAGACCGTAGATAATTTGAAACCGTAGCATTGACAGCTTTTATTCATTTACATATGTATTTATTTCTACTTATATTCTACCTGGGCTTTACTAATCCTGCCTCCGCCTCCGCCTCCGCCTCCGCCTCCGCCTCCAGAGGTTTTGTCGATAAATGTCCTTTCCGCTCCCCTCCTCACATCAGCATCCGATAAAGAAGCCCTTTCGATGCTCCGTAACCTGAGCACACGGTGTCCAGGGTCGGACGGACGGGCCTGCTTTACCGTTTCCGTTGAGCATTGTCTGTCTTGTGTGTTATTCTAACAGGGCAGGATTCTGGAAGCAAAGTCATATCCGCGTCCTTAGGAACCGCACAACCTCAGCAGGAAAAAGTAGGATCGTCTCCTGGCCAGCCAGCTGGGCAGGTAGGGCTCGTTTATGTAGCTTCTTTAACGTTCAGTGTGACTGAAAGAAAACGTGTTACCACCTGTTTGTTTACACTGTCCACAGGCGGCCCATGGTCCGTGTGACCACAAACATGCTCACCTCCCCCGTGGTCCAGGCCTTGCTGTGTTGATGTTTATGGGATGAATGTGTCTGTTCTGTTTCTCACATGTTTAGAGTGCTGTCACCTTTTCATTAAATAATAATATACCAGCAGCCAACACAGAGTAGGCACTCAAAATATGTAGTTTACCATTGAACTAGAGGCCCAGCGCACAAAGATCATGCACGGGTAGGGTCTCGAGGCCTAGCCTGCGATCAGGCCCATCTTCTGCTTGCTCGTCAGTACCCGGTCCCGCCCCGCCACCCCCGCCAGCCAGCCAGTTCCCCTTGCTGGTCCCCCATCACTTAGCGACTGGTCAAGCGGTCATTCTGGTCAATACACTTACAGTTGCTGGCCTTTTATTATATAGGATGATATCACTTACTATCATATCAAAGTGGATTATTCCTCTTAGTTATACTGAGATTTTTTTTTTCTACACTAACAACCAGGAATGTATGAAGGAGTCCCTGTGGTCTTTTAACTCAACCACTGATCTAAAAAGGAAGGGAAAAAGTTGTTTTCAGCTTACTAAGGCCTTAGTTTTCTTCTCCATTAAACTCAGCAGTCCGTGATAGTTTAGTGCAACTTTTGTAGTCCGGAAGGATCCGGTCCATTCTCAGCTTCTGATGTAGGTGTATTTGCTTCCTTAACATTATAGAAATGCCTAGTAGATTACACTCCTAACTGTGAAGCAGGAGCTCAAAGTGTTTGCGCCCTATTTACCACTGAGAAGATGAATTCAGTAATGCTACTGAATTTTTAGATGTTCATGGAGTTGGTACCTACAATATACTTCCTCAAAAATACAAGGATGCACTCGCAGAGGGAGGTGGGGATTCGGGCGTTAAGGTCCAGGCCGAGTCCCCCCAGGAGCTATAGCCCAGCTTCCGTGATCTCAGTGCGACTCCGCCACACGCGCCCACGGGCTTGCTGGTTGTATTCTTTAGCAGAGCAGTTCTGCATCCTTAGAATGTGCTCTGCATAGCGAGTTGAAAGTACTCAGAACGTAGTGGTCTTTATGTGTAACTGCATCCTGCTTGCTTTCAAGAAAAGGGAATAAAAGGTGTGTTTTGTCCGTAGGTGGATGGTCATTCTGGAGGACAGAAGAGGCCTGCCACAAAACAGCTGACTAAAGGGGCTTTGTGAGTGACCTTGGCTACAGCTCATTCCTCTAGGCTCTACCCTTCAGTACCTACACCACAGAAGTCAGGCTATAATGATGCATGCAGTATCTTTAAAAAGATACTTTGAAAGCCCATTCCTATAATTTGTTTCCATTAGGACCTATAAATATAGGTCTTTTGTTCTTTTAAAAAATATTTTTTTATTGATTTCAAAGAGGAAGAGAGAGAGAGAGAGAGAGAGAGAGAGAGAGAGAGAGAGAGAGAGAGAAACATCAATGATGCAGGAGAATCATTGATCAGCTGCCTCGTGCACACCTCCTACTGGGGATCGAGCCCACACCCAGGCATTTGCTCTTGACTGGAATCAAACCCGGGACCCTTCAGTCCACAGACCAACACTCTATCCACTGAGCCAGACTGGCTAGCGCTGCTTTTTTATTCTTAAGGAGAAGAAGCCTTTGCCGTCTTAGCACACCACGTGCCTGTGGCTGGCAGGCGTCTCTGAGGGGAGGCGGGTTTGGTAAACTCCTATGTTCCGAACAGAAATGTTCGCACGAGCGCCGTTGGCCAGTGCTCAGGCGTTGCCGGGTCTGTGAGCCCCACTCGTGCCTGGGTGGTAGGATCACTGAGCTTCTGAGGTCAGGGCCAGAGTTTGCCTTCCCTGTGGGTGGCTACACTGAGCTCTGAACCACTCTGGTGTACAAAGTATGAAACGAGGAAAGCCAGAAGTGCTGTACTTTGGACAGTAACGTTCCTGTACGTCTTACTCTCTCTGCATGCAAAGAATCGTTTCTTCTTTCTGCGGGAGAGCGGGTTCGGTTTCTTCCCGTGACTTTGCATCGACAGCAGCCTCTCTCTTCCAGCATCCTCCAGCAGCTGCAGAGGGACCAAGCCCACGCCGTGACCCCCGACAAAAGTCAGTTCCGGTGCCTCAGCGACGCGGTGCAGAGGCTGCTCTCCTACCACGTGTGCCAGGGCTCCATGCCCACCGAGGAGGACCTGAGGAAAGGTACCCGCTGGGGCCCCTCGGCGCCCCCTGTGGATGCCCCGCAGATGGCAGCCAGGCTGTTCTTCATCGGTTATTTACTCTGTTTCCCAGTCTGTGGTTAGGGTCGTGGCTCTTTCTTCTCGGTTTTCTGGGAAGGGATACCCAAGTGCCAGGGTCTTTGTGGACACATCCTGGGCCAGTGGAGGCACAGCATGGTCTGGGCTGCTGGCTGCCGACGGGACTGTTTAGGCGAGTGCACGCTCTTAGCTCTCACCACCAGTTCTGTGAGTTTCATTGATCCTTCAGCCCCAAACATTCTTGCAGGTTCCAGAGTGAGTCCAGGGCCTTGTTATATGTCAAGAAACTGGCAGAAAGGGGTTAAGGATAAGTTCCTTATCTCAACCCAGCACTCAGCCCAGTCCCATTCCTGACCTGCTGCCTCTCCCAGCTGTGCAGCTTACCTAGCTCTACCCGCCATCCCCAGGCTGACTCCGGAGTTCCCCCACTGCTTGCATCCTCCTTCAGCCGCCAGTCTCACTCCCACAGGAAAGGGGAAGCGGCCGTACCCCCACACACTGTGACCAGGGGCCTCTGAGCTGAGTGTCGTGGTCTCGGTCAGTCCACCGTGAGCTTCCCGGGGAGGCCCAGATCTGCACTGAGCAGGGGCGCGAGGACTGTAAGAGTGAGGTAGAAACGTGAGACCTGGGAGACCAACAGACAAGGACAGAACACAGCACCGTGGTCTGCAGGGGACCGTGAGCTAGTGTGTGTCTTTAGATAACACTGCCCAGTCCAGACAGTAGGACTTCATTGTTCCAGCTGTTTCCCTTTCTATATGATTGGCAGGGAGGGAGGCATGGTATTTGTTGCTGCTCTGTGTGATATGGTTTTCTTTTGTAGGTGATGTTAAAAATACTGTATTTTTGGATTTTTTTTTTTTTTTTAATCCTCACCTGAGGATATTTTTCCAAAGAGAGTGGAAGAGAGAGGGAAGGGCAGAGAGAAATATTGATGTCAGAGAAGCACATCGACTGGCTGCCTCCTGCACATGCCCTGACCTGGGCGCAGGCTGGCAGGAGCCCGCAACCGAGGTGCATGCCCTTGACCGGAATCAAACCCGGGACCCTTTGGTCTGCAGGCCGACTTTCTTCTTACTGAGCCAAACAGGCTAGGGCTGGTTTTGGATTCTTAGTTAAAGTTAATAGAAGCTAGTATTGAACTCAGCTTCCACAGTCACATTCCGGTGTGGAGTGAGGGGAGGCAGCGCAGCAGCACACGCTCAGGCACGGAAAAGCTGCCCGGAGAGAGGAAATGGCCACAGACAGGACCCGTGCGAACCGTGAAGAGAAGGCCTTCCGGTCTGAGAACGGAAAGGCCCGTGGGTGACTGGCACTCTCTTACCGTTTCTCCCTCTCTTCTTACAGTCGACAATGAATTCGAAACAGTTGCCACTCAGCTCCTGAAAAGGACCCAAGCTATGCTTAACAAGTACAGATGCCTGCTCCTGGAGGATGCCATGGTAAGCCCGGCCGCCAGGCACATTTGTTCTTCAGCTCCGCAGGTCACAGCCACGGACTCAGAGAGAAAAGCTTCGGGGATTACATTCCGCAGCAGAGTTTAGAAGGCACCGATGTTCAAGTTTTCAGAAAACCTTACACAGCAGGTGCTGTCTGTTGTGCGGTGCGGAATGTGGTTGCTCACCGTCCCTGCCGCTGTGATGGTTCCAAATGAGGAACCTCGGCCAGTGGCTGGCAAACGCATTAGTCCACGGAGTGGCACACCGCGGCTCACGAGTTTGCCGACCACTGACCTAGGCTCTGGTCAAGTAATTGGCCCCGGAGCACAGCTAGTGAGTCTGTAGGGCAATTAGCAGAGCCAGGACGCAGCCCAGCCCCCCGTACCTGGTCCACACTTCGGTGCTGTGTGCTGCCCTCCCCTGCCCAGAGCGGGGAGGCCTGGGAGCACCGCAGTGAAGGTTCACAGCAGCAGCCGGACAGACTGGGTGGTGACAGGTGTTACAATTAGTTTTGTCTTGTTTTTGACTGATTGTTAACATGCCATAAAACTCATGCTTCATTTTAAAATGTACAACCTGATGGGGTTTTTTTTTTTTAGCATATTCATAAGATTGTGCAACCATCACCACTGTCTAATTCCAGAACATTTTCATCACCTCAAATAAGAACTAGCATTGCTTTTATTTTTTTATTAATTATTATTTTTTAAAATATATTTTATTGATTTTTTACAGAGAGGAAAGGAAAGGGATAGAGAGCTAGAAACATCGATGAGAGAGAAACACCAATCAGCTGCCTCCTGCACACCCCCTACTGGGGATGTGCCCTCAACCAAGATATATGCCCTTGGCCGGAATCGAACCTGGGCCCCCTCAGTCTGCAGGCCAATGCTCTATCCACTGAGCCAAACCGGTTTCGGCTAACATTGCTTTTAAAGCACAGTTAATTAGAGAAAGGAGTAAGATATCTCAGGGAATGATGGGAAGACCAATCCTAGTCTGAGATTTTAGAAGCAATTCTAAAAACATATGGGCGTTAACCTATAAATTGGTCTCTTTCAGTGATTTTCAGTTTGAGATCAAGTTGGGAAATGTTCTGTGGGGGATTAATTGAACTACATTATACATGTACACAATATTGTGTAAATATGTAGAAATGTTTACATATATATATATATATATATATATATATATATATATATGTTAGAGGCCTGGTGCATGACATTTGTGCAGTGGGGTGGGGAGGAGACCTCAGTGCAGCCTGTGCCCTCTGGTAGTCTGGGACCCCTCACTCCTACTGCCTTCCTGCTCGCTGCTGCTTACCACTGGGCTCACTGCTCCTTAACACTATCGGGGAAGCAGGAGAGGCTCCCGCCACCGCTGCTGCACTCGCCAGCCATGATCCTGGCTGAGCAGCGCTCCCCCTTTGGGAATGAACTGACCACCAGGGGGCAGCTCCTGTGTTGAGCGTCTGCCCCCTGGTGGTCAGTGAACGTCATAGTGGCCAGTCGTTCTGGTCATTCTGCCATAACAGTTGCTTAGGCTTTTATTGTGAGTGTGTGTGTGCATTTCTAATATATTTTTACTTAAAAGTATGCCTCCAAAATCTGAAATAGTTTTCTTTTTGTTGTTGCTGTTGTTAATCCTCACCCAAGGATATTTTTCCATTGATTTTTAGAGAGAGTGGGAGAGACAGAGAAAACATTGATGTGAGAGAAACATATCGATTGGTTGCCTCCTGCACACAACCTGACCAGGGCCCAGGCCAGGGCAGAGCCTGCAACTGAGGTACATGCCCTTGACTGGAACTGAACCCAGGACCACTTTGGTCCACAAGCCAATGCTCTATCCACTGAGCCAAACTGCTAGGGCTGAAATAGTTGTTCTTATATTGATAACCATTTCTAAAACAAAATTGTGAGATGTCAAAAAGACTATCACTTTTGATGAAAGGACCACTTATTTGGTCAAACTATCTGCCATGAGTTTTCACGTTAAATAAGATCCAAAAATGTAGCCTAAGATTTGTTTCTGTATGGCACAAACTAATTTTAAGGATAAAATTAAATAAAAAACACAATTTTAAGCATAGCAGAGTGTAAAGTAAAAGGTCATTCTAATGAAAAGATTTCCAACATGTTAGCAGAAGGGGAAATAAGAAAGGCACAAAACAGTATATATTGTTGCTACCATTTATGTGCAGAATATATTTTTAAAAAGAGGACATAAATGTGTGTGTGTGCATGATCTACCTCTGGAAGAGTGTGTTAATCTGCTAGGAATGGGGTGCCTCCAGGGAGAGACACTGGGGGTAGGGGGAGGGCACAGGGGAGGCAAAGAAGAAGGCTTACTTTTCACATCCCCCTTAATGCCAATGGGTAGATTGCCTTTCCCCCAAAAAAACTCAATTTTATTCATTTGTTCATTTCTTATTTTATTTTCAAACCTGTATGACTTTATTAATTGACGTCTCCCCAATAAATTCAATGAGAGAGAGGAACAGGGATAAAAAGATAAGATGATCCATCCATCATTGCCCCAGAAGTACTCGCCTCATTTAGATAAAAATACATTTTTTTTTTAAATGCATCCTAGCCTGGTCAGTGTGACTCAGTGGTTGAGCATTGACCTATGAACCAGGAAGTCACAGTTCGATTCACAGTCAGGGCTCTTGCCCAGGTTGTGGCTCAATTCTCAGTGTGGGGCATGCAGGTGGCAGCCGATCAATGATTATATCTCATCATTGAAGTTTCTATCTCTCCCTCTCCCTCGCTGAAACCAATTAAAAAATAAAAATAAAAAACAAAACTTTTTTAAATATATACTTTTATTGATTTTAGAGAGGAAGGAAAAGGGAGAGAGAGATAGTGATGAGAGAGAATCATTGATTGGCTGCCTTCTGCACGCCCCCAACTGGGGATTGAGCCCGCAACCCGGACCTGTGCCCTTCACCAGAATCAAACCCAGGACCCCTCAGTCCACAGGCTGACGCTCTATCCACCAAGCCAAACCGGCCAGGGCCAAAAACTTTTTTAAAAAATGCATTCTAATGATGTGGCAAGGAAAATTGACTGAATGGGCACCTGGAACTTAGACATTAAGCTCTCGTTTCTGACTGCTTCAGTTGTCCCAACAATGCACGGAGATGTTTGCACTTGTTAAAGGGATGACCGGACTCTCTCCTTTTCAGCGGATTAACCCCTCGGCTGAGATGGTGATGATCGACAGAATGTTCAACCAGGAGGAGAGGGCGTCTCTGTCCCGGGACAAGCGGCTGGCACTGGTGGACCCCGGTGAGTCACGTGGGGCTGAAGGTGGAGGAGCCTCCCGCCATGGGCCTGTGGGGACTGGGTCTGAACCCACTTTGGTACGGAACCTGAAGGTAGAACATGAAAATGGGGAGAACAAGCCCGGAGTTGAGAGCAGGATATGAATACTTGAGAAGGTCTTTATTCTACAAAATGGAATTTCACATTCAGATAAGTGATTATTTTCCCCCATTGTGAACTTAAACTTCTCAGTGGTTCTCTAATTTTTGAGAACTAAATTAAATCAGAAGGCTTCCAAGAAGCAGTTGAAACTCAGTAAATTATTGGGTTATCTCACCATGTACATGGGACTATTAGGGGGAAAGTCAGTAAAACACAGTCCCTGTCCTCAGTTAGGAAATTGCAATGCTCCATGTGAGTACTTTTCTCTTCCCCCACCAGTTAATGCATGTTAGATTTGACCTACATTCTATATTTTTAAAAATAATTTTTTAATTGAATTCAGAAGAAGGGAGAGGGGGAGAGAGAGAAACATCAATGGTGAGAGAGAATCATTGATAGGCTGCTTCCTACACGCCCCACACTGGAGATTGAGCTCGTAATCTGGGCACGTGTCCTGACTGGGAGTCAAACCGTGACCTCCTGGTTCATAGGTCAGTGCTCAACCACAGAGCCACGCCAGCCAGGCACATTCCGCCTATTAAAAATGAATTCTCTTTACTTTTTTCTAGCCTCTAATATTGTTTAAATCAAATAATATTACAGCAATTCATGGCATATAGGTTTTACCCATACTCTCACCTTCCTATAAGAGAAATGTTTTTATTCTCCAAGTTTTCTTCTACTGCTGGTCTGGTTTCCATGTTCATGCATCATTTACATATAGTTATAATCATGTGTCATATGCTAGATAAAATTTTACTAACTTTCTTCCATTTAACCAGCTGAGGTGTTTTTCTTAAATATATTTTTATTGATATCAGAGAGGAAGGGAGAGAGAGATAGAAACATCAATGATGAGAATCACTGATTGGCTGCCTCCTGTACGCCCTACACTGGGAATCAAGCCCACAACCTGGACATGTGCCCTGATAGGGAATTGAATCGAGACCTTCTGGTTCACAGGTCTGCTCACCCACTGAGCCACCCCGGCCAAGCCAAACCTGTCCACAGTTAGGAAATTGCAATGATCCATTTTGGCCAAGCTGAAATTTTTATCGTGTTGCTAAAGTCTTTCAAAATAATATTTAATAAATGTTAATGTATTCATTTGAAACTTAGCTAATACATTCTCCTATATTGGACTATTACAGTAAGTTCTCAATGTCATCTCCAGTTTCTTAGAAACTGCAGTTTCATGCAAAACAACTCTAAGGAAACCAATTTTGCCATAGGCTAATTGAGATAAACAAGAGTTCTGTTCCTACGGCATATTTCTGGTCATAGAAACATCAAACTTCTAAATAAAGATCCAAACATTTATAATAAACACGGAAATAAATGTGAACTACACATCCATTTAAGAAAGATTAATAAAAACATGCCCTAGCTAGTTTTGCTCAGTGGATAGAGCATCAGCCTGCAGGCTGGGTCCTGGGTTGAATTCTGATCAAGGGCACAGGCCAGGGTTGTGGGCTCTTCCCCAGGTGGGGGCGTGCAGGAGGCAGCCAATCAGTGATTCTCTCTCATCATTGATGTTTCTGTCTCTCTTCCCCTCTCCCTTCCTCTCTGAAATCAATAAAATATATATTTTTAAAAGAGACAGAAAGATTATTGGAATGATTCAGCCCAGAAAACCTGGGGTGTCTGCCTTCTGAGCTCTATCCCCCGAGTCCCCAGTCCTGGCTTCTGCTCTCACAGCTCCAGTCCACTCAACCCCCTTCTGCGGGAGCACGAGGTGGGGGCTCCACAGGATAGTTTGTGCACTGGCCCTTTAAAAGAGTGCCTGCATTTTCAATTGTCACTCCCTGGCAGACAGCATCCTGCAGCTTTCACAGCCTGAAGTTATGTGGTCACCCTTCTCAGCTGTGGTGCTCTCTGCTGGGGACCCATCTTGGGGATTAGATCCCAGAGTTCTCAGTGGAATCCCTTCCTTTCTCCCTAGCTGAGATATCGCTGGGGGACTTCAGTTGCTGTCCTGAGCGCCTCTGTCCCTCCTACCACTCTATACTCTCTCCACTCGGGTATCAGGTTCTCTCCTGCGAGTTTTCTGTTGATTATTCAGGAAGTTTTTCTGTATTTTAGATGTAATTCCAATTCTTTCCTGGGAGCGTGTCCGTGTAGCATCCACTTACTCTGCCGCCATTTTTAATCCTCGAGATATGGATTCTGTATTTTATGAGGTTACGAGGCGTTGGGGGGAGGGTGTAAAGGCATCAGTTACCCACAACTGTATCTGCCCTAAGAGACTGCAGCAGTCGGGTCCGCAGCTCGTCCCCCACTCCCCCTGTCTCAGGCCTGACCGGGCTGGTCTTTGGCTCGGGCCTGAGCCTGAGGGGTCTGCTTCGGTGGCAGGGGCTGCGCTGTTGGCACCGCGCTGACAGGACACGTGCCTCAGCGCCCATCACTTCAGAGCTAACACTCTCTGTGCTTGCAAATAGCTAGCGTCTGTCTGCCTTCCTCTGTGCCCCAGCCCCTGCATCCTTACTTCCATCTCTCTTGCCCGGTCCTTGGCCCTTCAGGCCTGGCCCAGTGCAGTGCTCGCTCAGACACGGCTCCTCCGAGCAGAGCAGACGTCACCTGGATGCATGTTGACCTGGCAATGTGCTGCTGGCTGTTCCAGGTCCCCACGTGCGTCTTTGGGGCTGGCATGCCATCACCCAGACACCTGGTTGTGTCCCTCATACCCACCCCCTGCCCAAGCCTCTGCTCCAGGGAGGACATGGCTGGTCCTGCAGCTCCTCTGTCTGGGACTTTCAGAGCCGGCCTTTAACAAACTGAGCCAACAGGAGCGGGGGAGCGGGCTCTGCACCTCCGGCTCCCCTCCCCGCTGTCACTCTGCAAAGGGGTGCAGCTCCTGGCGGCAGCCCGGCGGCCCCGGGCGGGTGTTGAGCTCTGCACCCCCTTGGAGCCCGCAGACCTCCTGCTGGGCAGGCCGGCTCCAAGCTGACCCCACCAGGGTCCATGGTGTTGCCCTTCCTCCTTCGTCCATTCACGTTCTCTCTGCTCCCCTTTCCAGAGGGCTTTCAAGCCGATTTCTGCTGCTCCTTCCAACCTGACAACGCTGCTCGCGAGCCGCCGTGTGGCCGGAGTGACCAGCACGGCAGCCACAGCGCCAGCTCGCTGCCCAAGGCCGGGAGCAGGGACCGAGCCCGGGCCGGCCCGGCGGAGCCCGTGAACCACGCCCCGGGCCATCCAGTGCCTAACCACCTCGTGGTCTCCGCCGAGGGGAGCGTCTCCAGGAAGACGGAGTGCCTGGGCCCGGGCCAGCCGCGGGATCCCGCCGCGGGCAGCGAGGGCGCCCCCGGCCCCGAGGGGCCCCGGAGAACCGCGGCCCGGCCCGACCCCGGCCCCGAGGGCAAGCTCTCGGGCCTCCCGGTGGACTCCCGGCTGGAGATGGCGCGCAGCAACTCCTTCCCGGACAGGGCGCGCCGCAGCCCGCCCGAGCACGCGCGCTCGCCCACGGACGTCCTGAAGGGCTCCGGGGAGCCCCAGCCGGACCTGCAGCTCAGCCGGAGCCTGGAGACCACGTTCAAGAGCATCCTGGAGCTCAAGGCGGCCGGCCGGCCGGCGCCCGGCAGCGGCGGCGGCGTGGAGCTGGGCTTCCCCGGCTTCTCCCCCATGGCCGCGCAGGACCACTGCCTGGAGAAGCTGGCCCCGGACCACAGCCAGGGCGTCGTGGAGACGGACTCCATTTTAGAAGCCGCTGTAAATAGTATCCTAGAGTGTTAATACGGCCTCCGCCCCGCCCCGCCGCCCGTCTTTCCTGCAAACCAACGGAGCTCCCCAGCCTGCCCGGTGTTCATCACGCCTGCGCCTCCTGTTCCGTCCAGAGCAATACTCGTCGTGGGTCCGGGAGACCCGCCAGCAAGATCAGTCCTGGTTAGAAAGCAGTCTGATAGGCCCGACACATTGCAAATGTTTGAAAGCGCTTTTAGTCATTTTTTGTTTGTCTGTTTGTTTACTTGTTTTATTTTCCTAAAAATACTGTGTAACTCAATGAGATCATAGTACACTTGGCCCTGGGTAAAAAAAAAAAATATTCTGACAATCATAAGTCATTTGAAAAGAACAGACTTATTAAAGAAAATCAAACAGGACTGATAGAAGCTACTTTTTAAAGAATATCCCACTTGTATCTCCAAATTTTGGCTTTTTGGTTTTGTTGCTGTTGCTGGAGGGGAGACCACGTGGCCCTCCCCCTGGCCACCTCAGCAGTAGTTGCTGGCCGCTGCGGGGACCTGGAGGCCGGTGGCGAGGGAGCAGGCGTGTGCAGGGCGCCCCGTTCACGGTCAGGTGCTTTGCCGATGCTCCCGGGGCGCAGCCTCGTGCCTTTCCAGCACCTCGTGGTGGGCTCCCCCAGGCCCTGCTCCCTCAGCGCCACAGCTCACAGAGCCCGCGCGGGGCGGGCTGGGCGCAGGGAGAGGAAACCAGTGACAGCACAGTGTGCGGGGTGGGGCGGGGCGGGGCAGGGTGCAGCCTGAGGAATAAAACCTGTATATATGTAAAAGCATATATATGTTAACTGTCGAGAAAAAACAAGCATTTTGCATTTTATGATTGGATACAGTCAACATACGATGTACCTTTTTGTTTGTTGCTGGGTTCTGTTTCCTTTCACCTCTCTTTTCACCCTCTCCCACAACAAACAGCCCGAGCGTCAAAAGCACTTTCATTTGAAAACCGTGTTGTCATTTTTCTGTTTAAACCTTAAGGGGACTTTGGCCTTGTTTTTGCTGCTTGTTGTCTGAGAACAGTAGTCACCCCTGGCAGCAGTCCTTACCAAAACACAGTCAAACCAAAGGTAGCCAGCCAGCCCACCGCGGAGTGAGGAGATCGGGGACGCGGCAGTCCCACGCAAGAGCCGAAGGACATGCCCTGTCACGTGTTTGGCCCGTATTCATGTTCGTGAGCATGACACTGCTTTTATTTATTTATGTTTCTTTTCAGGGAGCTTTCCCCATGTCCTTTCTTTTGTACCCGCCCAGGTCATCCCATTTCTGTTGTTACTGTCACTCTGGTGTCATTGTAACATCGGCGTGTCCTGAACTTGGGAAGCTACATTATGGTGTTTGCTATGTACTATCACACACGTGTGAACGTGCCTGAGCGTTCAGGTCCCCAGGCCGCTGTGCTGACAGTGTGTACACACGCTCCCTCTTCTGTGTGTGCACGCTCTCGTGTGTTCGGTTGGTCTCTGTGGGCCTGCTTCTGGCTGTCCGCAGAATGCGGTCACTCCCACTGTCATCATGTTGGACATTTCTTTCCAGATTGGCCTGTGACGGAAAGGAACGTTTCTGATTGCTGGAAAACACAGCAACAGAAGACTGATAGCTCCCCGCCCCCTCGTCCCACCACACAGAGAAGCCCTGCGAGGCAGCCAGTCTTCCTAAAGCAGAGCACCTTCTCCCCACTCCCACCCGCCAAAAGAAGCCGGAAAACGTGGGCCATGAGGGTTACCATGTTTTCCTTACTTGTGCCAATGTCCACGCTGCAGATGCCCCCTTTTCCTTTATTGTAACATATTAGAAAGATAAGTTGGTGTTGCCAGTTGGAACTTTCTGTTTGGGCCGCCCTGGGTTGGCACCCTGCCCCGACCCCCAAGATTTCACAGGCTCATGCTCCCCTAATTCCTAGCAAGTATTAAAGATGGTTCCTCCTGATCAAATTCTCCTCCTGGTGGAACTTTATACCCGGAAGCCTTTGCGAAGGCTGCTGGTGAGTTACATTCATTACTGCGAATCAGTGGAATTCTCAAAGAGACTAGATAAGCTTTGTGTACATTCGTCTCACCTCTTCCCCATCCTGTCCCGCTGCCCCAACCCCCGCTTTTCGATATACCATCTTCCGGGGTTTTCAAGCCCGAACACTTGTCTAGCAAATGGAGAGCCTAAATCTACCAAAATGAAACTTGTAAATTTCTGTGTCCCTGTATGTAAGTTTACTTTTTATGGAGGAAAGGTCCTAGATAATGGCAAATGAAGATGACGAGATGTGTTTTACTCCTGTGATTAGGTTATGCGCACATAGGCCATACTCCGCATGCCGAGCCCTCTGGCGAAGGGTACGAGGGCTCAGCCTCAGATGGCCAACCTTCAGCTGTTCAGGTTCATAGTCAAAGTTAAGTTTTAGAACTACTTGTACTCCGTAACAAAAATCATTTCTCTTTTTTTTCTGTTGTTGTGGAAAGGTGTGAATTTGTTATTAAGCATTTGATTTTCTGTGTCCTTAAGTACTGCCTAAAAGGTAAAGCAAATTTTAAACTAGCAATTACGAAAAAAAAGAACTATTTTAGCTCCGAAGAATTTAGTAGACTTTGTTAGATTAGGGAGGCCTTACAGACTGACTTGACTTAAAGAGGACGCGTCACTCACTGTCAGTGTGGTGTGGGCTTTATTTGCTTAAATACCTTCATTTGTATAGTATGTCTCACTTGAAATTGCTTTGTATACATTTTGTAAAAATATTTATAAAATGTTTTGTAAAAAAGTATAACAAATTGCAGTTTATTTTGTTATGTTGGATAAATACTGTTAAAAGAAACCAGTCAGTAACTATATTGTTAACCCATGGTTAGGAAATGTTTAGTTGGAGATTACAAAATGAAACAACCATTGCAATACAGCCAAAGATTTGGGAAAATGTGCAACTGTGATTGTCTTGATTTGCAAGTAGGAATGGCTGCTTTTCCCAGAAGACGGGTAAGTGTCCAGTGAGAGTTCTATTATATTCAAATAAACTTACCATTGCCAAAGCCTAGCCTAGGCAGGGAGAAGGCAGGATTGTAACTGATCGGCCTTTCCAAACAGTTAACAAATTACACCAACTTGGCCCGGGAGAAGGCTTAGGCATGTGCATCTCTGGCCTCCATCCCAGCTCCTGTCACATAGATTCTTCCTTAACCAGCGAAGGAAAAATGGGGTCATTTGAGAAGTTAGATAAGCGAGCCTCCTTCTGTAGGTAGTTTTCTCCCATATATTTATTTTGTTTCTTCAAGGACAAGAAAGTAAGGGGATAAAGAACAGAAAAAGAGCCGTGGCCGCGTGGCTCGGCTGGCATCATCCTGTGCATCGCGAGGCTGCTGGTTTGATTGTGGGCTCAGTCCCCAGTAAGTGACATGCAGGAGGCAGCCACTTGATGTTATACTCTCACATTGATGTTTCCCTTTTCTCCCTTCCACTCTCTCTCTAAAAGTCAACAAACTATTCTGTTTTTTAAAATTTAATATATTTTTATTGATCTCAGAGAGGAAAGGAGGAGAGATAGAAACATCAATGATAAGAGAGAATCGTTGATCAGCTGCCACCTGCACACTCCCCACTGGGGACTGAGCCTGAAATCCAGGCGTATGTCCCAACCCTAAAGAAAACTATTTCACATAAGACTTGTTCCAGCACTGCCTGGGTAGCTCAGAGCATTGTCCCGATACACCAAGGTTGTGTTTTCAATCCCCAGGCAGGGCACATATAAGAATCAACCAGTGGCCGAAACCGGTTTGGCTCAGTGGATAGAGCGTCGGTCTGCGGACTGAAAGGTCCCAGGTTCGATTCCAGTCAAGAGCATGTACCTTGGTTGCCGGCACATTCCCAGTAGAGGGTGTGCAAGAGGCAACTGTTCAATGTTTCTCATCGACGTTTCTAGTTCTCTATCCCTCTCCTTTCCTCTCTGTGAAAAATCAATAAAATATATTTTTTAAAAAAGAAAAAAAATTAATCTTAAAAAAAAAAAAAAAAAAAAGAATCAACCAGTGAATGCATGATAAGTGGAACAACAAATCTCTTTTTCTAAAACCAATAAATAAAATTTAGCCCTTGCCAGGGTGGCTCAGTTGGTTGGAGCATCATACCATATACGAAAGGTTTGGGGTTCAATTCCCAATCAGGGCACATACCCAAGTTGTGGGTTCTGTCTCTGATTGGTCAGGGTGCATGTGGGAAGCAACTCATGTTTCTCACATCTCTCTCTCATCAATTTTTTAAAATTAAAGTATAAATAAATACATAAATAATTTAAATTTATTCCAGAATTAACATGTTTCTCTTTGGAGTCACACCTTTGTCCACAATGGTAAGAAAGACCCATGCAACCTTTTCTGTAAAATTAGCCCCATGAGGCCCTTCTGAGTTCCTGTCCTCACGAGAGTGACTCTACCCAAATTGTTAGGGAAACTACCAGAGGGTTAGAGTATAGGACTCCTTAAATTTTTCTTTGGGACCTAGAATTTATATGTACACCCTTATTTATGGTTTCGTTGCTTCCCCCTGCCCTTAAAACAGTAGCAGTGGTGAACACAACATTCAGCAACAGCCAATATGTAAACCGGAAGTTGTCCTCTTTATAACAGAAATTAGGATCATTACTGCTTGCATTGTCACATCAGTGGATGGATTCCCTAATCATTTTTATTTTTGCAGTGTTGCCCTGATGCCGAGCTCCTCTCCTTACTAAGGACAAATGTGTGTCCATCCTGACGCTCTTGTCCCTCTTGGACCCTTTGCACTGGGGATGGCCCCTGGGTGATGAGTTAGAAGGAGGGACCATCTGGCTGCTCAGTTAGAATCAGTCTCTGTCCCCAGAGAAAAGAACTGGGCATCTTCTCTGAGGAGGGGGGAGACCTTGTTTCAGGAGGATCCCCAGTATTCCCTGACGTGGAGGAAGTAGCCAGTGGGTTCCTGGGGACCCAGCTAAAGGTGGAGAGCAGTACCCGCCAAACCTTGGACAGTTTACAGGCACGGGGCTAGCCACCGGGACGTGTGTGGCTGAGGATGATTTCTGCTCTCTAGGAGCTCCAATCTAGAGAGAAAACAAGCCAGTAACTAGGTACATTTGGGAACCAACCAATGGAGTTCCAGAGAAGAGACTGGAGCTCAAACTCCAGACCTGCTGCTTGGTAGAGAGCGACAGACTGAATTTCCATGTCCTGGTGGTTAGTGCAGTTTCCTGAGTGACGTTTGAGAAAAAATATAGACTCTGTGCAGGAGTGACATTAAGGACGTTTGTAATTAGAGCATGAATATGGAGAAATCTGTCCCAAGTATGTGCACAAATGCTGGAGGCGCATTTGTCGTAAAAGGTAGGTTCTGTTGTGTGAACAGCCTGTGTCTGCATTGCTCCAGGGAAAGGCCTTTATGAAAAATCTTCTGTTCCTCGCGCACACGTGCTGTAGCCCGGCCTTTGATGCCACCTGCAAAGGCAGGAAGATCCTTCTGGGAAATCAGTTTCTGTGGAGGTCAAGGAAAGCAGAGGAGACTGTGGGCAGCAGAATCTGGAAGCAGGCGCCAGTGCGGCGTCTAACACGGACGCAGATGCCTTCCTGCGAGTCCCTCTCAGCCCAGCTGCCTCCACAGTAAACTAGGACCGTGGTCAGCAAACTGCGGCTCTCGAGCCACATGTGGCTCTTTGGCCCCTTAAGTGTGGCTCTTCCACAAAATACCACAGCCTGGGCGAGTCTATTTTGAAGAAGTGGCGTTAGAAGAAGTTTAAAAATTTTGACTCTCAAAAGAAATTTCAATTGTTGTACTTTTGATATTTGGTTCTGTTGACTAATGAGTTTGCCGACCACTGAACTAGGAAGCCTCGTCCTGAAATGAAGCTGCCATTTCTTGGTGTAAAATGATGTGTTACTGAAAATGTATGGAAGGCAGAAAAAGCGAACGTTCCATTATCCCTGAAATAATTGAGAAGAGGTTTGGGTTTCCGGGTTTGGGTTTGGTCTTACCGTCTGCACACTGACTCCTTCGTACGCTAGCTCTCCTGTGTCTGTCCTCAGCCCTCCAAAAGCTGCTGCCCCTCACCTGTTCGCTCCTTTTCCCTTCCCACTTTTGCTCCTTACGTTTGTTCTTCAAGATCAAGAGCTGTTGTCCGTGTTGTCTTTCCCAACTCCAGGCTCACCTGGCTGCTCTCACGCTATAGTAAGTTCTCACTTAGGGTTATTAGTAGGTTCTCGGAACTTCTGCGACAAGGAAACCGATTTTACCGAAAGACAATTGATATAAACAAGTTCAGTTCCTGTGGCATCTCACCAGCGTTGTCAGGTAACGATGTTATTCCAGGACCTGCTGTGATCTCTTTCCAGCATGCTTCCTGGTGGTAACCCACGTCCCTCTGAGGAAGCAACCAGGAAAGCTTGAAACAAAGGAAGTGGGCGGCCAGAAGGGTCCTAATCCAGGAAGGAGGTGTGGGGCAGATAGGAAACTGCAGATGGACCCGTGTGTGTGTGTGTGTGTGTGTGTGTGTGTGTGTGTGTGTGGTTTTGCCTTACGGAGAAGGCACTGCTTAATTATCTAAGTGAAAAGAGTAGGACTACAAATAAGTAGGACTCAAAGTGCAGAGAATACTGACATAACTTACTGTGGGTTTTGTTAGCAAAGGGATCCTGGGGTTAATTCAGGAAACCACGAAATGTTGGCCCTGAAAGGAGTTTAAAAAACATATAGTCGAGGAGTTTCAAAAACAGACAAATCACAAGAGGCTGATGACCCAGGAGTTTTCATTAAACTAATCAATAAGTGATAAACAAAGGGCATACCACCAAATGTAAGCCTTGCTCTCACTCCAGGCCCCACTCCCATTTTCCAAAAATAATACCCACTTACACTTTTTTGTATGTCCTTCCAAAATTATAATATGCAAATACATCTATAGCCAAAAAACAAAAACTAGGACCATTCCCTCACATCCTATTCTGTACCTTGCTTTTTCAAATACAATACAATACAGACATTTTCCAAATGTCTTGGAATTTTATAGTGGGGGGGTGGGGCGGGCGCCCTCAGCCCAGTCTGCACCCACTCACAATCTGGGACCCCTGAGGGGTCTTTAGCGCTGCTTTGGAGGCAGTAGAGGCTCCCGCCACTGCTGCTGCACTTGTCAGCCAAGAGCCCGGCTCCTGCGTTGAACATCTGCCCCCTGGTGGTCAGTGTGCATCATATCAACCAGTCATTCCACCATTCAGTCGATTTGCATATTATGGTTTTATAGGATTCTTTGATTGCAAGCAACAGAAACCGATCTGGTTAACAAGCATAAGGGGTTTTATAGGAAGGGTAAGGATTGAAGGGAAGTTTGAAAAAAACACAGACTTGAGAAGCACAGGAACAAGGAAATTCCAGGTTTCACTCAGCAGGTGGGAATCTTTAAACGGCTTGCCCCAAACCTACATTCCTCCCATCACCACTGCTCAAGATTCAAAACCAAAGAAGGTAAGTGTATGGTTCCATGCCCTTTCCGCTGGGCAGATGAGAGGACTGGAACTGATCTCCCAGAAACCCTTTCAGTTATGCATGGAGGGCAAGCTTCTGGTTCTCCACTCACACAGATGTACACGATGAGGGAGAGACAGTTCACTAGAGAAATGGGATACTGTTGGGGCATGAGATTGGATGTCAGCAGGCCAAAAAGTGAAAAACGCCTACCATTGAAGTTTTGGGGACCTACATCACTACATATAATTGCATAGTCTTCCATAAATTTAATTGTTTTTTTTTTTTATTTTAGAAAGAGAGGAAGGTACAGAGAGAGACATGTTGATTTGTTATTCCACTTATTATGAATTCATTGGTTGATTCTTGTATGTGCCTTGACTGGGTGTTGAACCGGCAACTTTGTTGTATTAGGATGACCTTCTACATCTTCCAAGAGAAACCAAAATGGCGGCATAGGTAACCGTCTAACTGCAGCCTCACACAACAATTTCAAAAAATACAACTAAAATATAAAGTGGACATTATCCAGAACTACAGGAAAGTTGACTGACTGGAAATTCTACAACTAGAAGGAAAGAGAAAACCAGAAGGAAAATCAGAGGAGCAGTAAAAGCCTAAGGTATGGAGACACGTTGAGTGTGCTGAGAGGACGGAGCCAGAGAGGAGGGGCAGCTGAGTGCCTGGCTGGCGTTCCCTAGCGGGGAGATAAAAGCTCCAGACTGTGCTGAACCCCAGTTCCGACAGCACTGAACCCCAGTTCTAAGCAAGACCCTGGGGACCCAGACACATACAGAAGGAATCTGGGCTGTAAGGAGGATGACCTTCTAACCAACTGAGCTACCTGGCCGGGCCTTCCATAATATATTTAATTATTCCCTAATGATGGATAATTGAAGTGGTCAAAAAACAAAAACAAACAAACAAAAAAAAAGAGAGCAGCCTCTGAGGACAAGCTACAGAGAATAACATTCTCGAGGCTGTGAATGGCCATGCCAGGTTCTCATTCAGGAACCTCCCTTTGAAAAAAAACCCACGATCATCTCACCCAGTGTGAGCGCGCATGCTCGGAGCTCAGTAAACATGTTCAGTTAGTGAAGGATTTTTGGCTGAAGACTCCATCCCTTTTCCTCTGATCAGCCTGGTGGGAGGATGGCTTTGGCACCGAGAATAAGGACTCTCTTAGCACCACCTGCTGGCACCAGAAAACCTTGTTTTCCCGTAGGTGCCTCTGACAGTCCTCTTCCGAGCATGTCCTTCCACGCAGCCTGCCTTTTACCTCTCGGGGAAGTGACAACCTATTGACTGGTTTTGGTTTTTGTTCAGTGTCTAATGGGTGTGCTGCACTTCGGTGATGCTTCTGTGCTTGGCTCCTCACAAAGGAAGACACGCGGGGAGGCGATGAAGGAGGAGCCTCCTGCCAGTCTGTGACCCTGGCGACTGCACTGTCCTTTGACATGTTCATCAGGGAGCGAGCTCTGTGCACGGCACCTTCTTTCTGGTGGGACTGGTTACATAACACATACCAACGTGATGCCTGAACTTGAACTTGGTCAACAAGCCCTGTCGACTTGAGGACAGGTGCCAGAGACAGGTGCCACAGGTGTCCCAACTGTGAGGACAGGTGCCAGAGACACCTGAGACAAGTCCCCTGCCTTCTGAGCAACTGGTCTAATTAGGGAAACAGTAAGCCAAATGGTACAGGATGAAGTCTCTAGTGGTCTCTAGGAGGGCTGACCGTCAAATAACTCCATTGCTCTATCCTTAGGGTACTTGGCAATGCCTGAAGACTTTTTTTTCTTTTTTGCCACACTGGCGTGGGGATGCTACTGGCTTATAGTGGGTCAAAGTTTGGGGTGCTGCTAAACGCCCTTACAGCGCACAAGACAGCCCCCCATAACAAATAATTATCTGGGCTCCAAATGGCAATAGTGCCGAGATGAAGAAACCCGAGCAGAAATAGGGAAAAAGAAAGAGAAACCTGCGCTAGACCTCTAGGATTAGGGATGAGCCAGGCAGGCACGGTACCTGCCCTTCTAGTGTCGCGGGGAAGAAATGTGTGAAGGAATTCAGAGAAAGGGAAGAGACTACTGTAGAGCCTTGCTAGTTAAAATTTATTCCCTAGACCCGAAGCATCCCTTTGCAATGTTAAAAATGCCGCTACCGACCTGACTCCCCCATCCCTTCCCGAATAAGTATCTGCATTTTCACACGGCCCTCGGGGGGCTTCTGTGCACATTAATGCTTGAGACGCGATGCTCTAGAGAGCCCTTGAGTTCCGTCCCGTTGTTTGTTAAGACCAGGCGAGAAGGGAGCGTATTCCAGGAGGGGATGCTCTGAGAGGACGAGGCGGAATCCCTGGTTTTCGGCCGGGCACTGTAGCCATCAGCGTTGCCTGCTTGCTGTCAGTGTGCTAGGGGCTTCCCACAGAGCAGCTCACAGGCCCCCTCCGGAGGCTATTAGGTAGGGTCCATTCTTACACTCGTTTTGTGGGTAAAAGAAACTAAGACATCGACCCAGGGCCCACTGCTGGACGGGCAGACGGAAGCAGAGCTGCCTTTTCCCAGCCTACGTCGTCCAGGAGACCTCCGCCCCGCGAGAGCGCCCGAGCCGCCGCCGCGCGCCCTTCAGGCGGACCCAAAAGGCGGTCCCAGAACTGCCCGTCTTCCCATTGCGCGGCGCACCGGAAACCGGCGGGGCGGCGCCCACTTCCTACCGGAAGTCGCGGGTGCATTGTGGGAAGTGTTTCATTGTTTACAGCCCGGCCACCGGCATATGAGACTATAGCTTGAGTGAAAAGGCTTTTGAGTATTAATTACAGAGCTCTATCACCCCTGGGAGCAGTGTAAGGAAAGCCTTGTGCAACGTCTGGCGGGAATCGGGGCTAGCACGGCCTCAGAGGGGGCTGCTGCTCGCGGGAGGCTTGCCCTCCGGGTCGGGAGGACCAGAGACGTCTCTATGGTAAAGTAAACATAGAGCGGTGCCGCCCTTTCCCACGTGGTAGGACTGCGCATGCGCCGGGGCCGCAGCTTTGGAAAGATGGCGGAAGAAGAGTGAGTATTTGGGACTTTGAGTCTCTCGTGTGGGTCCTAGAGCATCCAGTGCCATCCACGGGTTGGCGGGGAATAAGGATACTTGTGAATTGAAGGAAGAGGATGGAAAAGGCTCCAGATGACAGAGGATGGGGGTGTAGAGTGGGGCTCGTGGGGCTCGGGCGGGCCGAGGGGGCTGTCAAGATCGGGTTACATGGAGGGGCGAGGTTTGGCTTCCAGACCGCGGGGCTGGAGTTCGGTTCACCAAGCCCGATGTAAGATTCCCGCTGCGAATGGGTCTGCACCCGCTCCAACCCCTGGGTTTTACAAGGATGTTCTCGCTGCTGGTGTCTATAAAGGGCTGTCAGTAAAAGCGAATTTGACATTAGGATGAACAGTGGCTAAAGGGTTCATGGTTTTTTTGTATGTTGTTATTGATTTTAGATAGAGAGAGAGAAACATCCATCGGTTGCCTCGGGCAGGCACCTCAATCTGGGCTTGTGCCCTGACTGGTGCCCGGGATGACGTTCAACCAGCTTAACCCCACAGACCAGGGCGAAAGGGTTCATGACGTGTTAAGGCTTCCAAGCCGGGGATGGCGCGGGTCCGCTCTGAGGACTGGAGTCAGAAGCCACAGGTTTCAGGGGAGCCTCGGTTCTTAGGAATTTGAAGACAGTAATGTGTTCCGAAGCCTAGGAACTGGTTTGGAAGTTCATTGAAGATGCGTTTCCCAGATATTGTCGCTGACCTCAGTTTTCTGTATCAGGCAAAGAAAAAAGATCCCTTTGGTTCCAGAAAATCTCCTGAAAAAGAGGAAGGCTTATCAGGCGCTCAAAGCCACCGAGGCAAAGCGGGCACTTTTGGAAAAGAAAGAGGTAAGTGTGGGGACCCAGGAGGATGAAATTGGGATTTACAGTTGTTGATTTTTATCCGGCATGGGTTGAACTGGATTTGGTACCCCATCCCCATCAGTCCGATTGTACCAGATATATGGTTCATGTCTTCACTTAGCAAATATTTATCAAACACTTACTCTGGGCAAAATACTGGAATCATTTGTTCAGGAAAACATGGGATGAAAGCTTGTACCATCTGGGTTCATACCAAGTGATTTGAGAGACTAGATGTGTCACTGGGGGGAAAAAAAATCTTAACATCTTTTTTTCAAATGTGCAATTTGCTCAATGGTTTGAGGTAAATATATATTTTGGAGGCAGGGAACAAAACTCGTGCTTGTTTTGTACTCTATGATTCTTAAATGTTAGATTAAAAAAAAAAAAAAAAAAAACACGCCTGTGGGTAAACATTGGTTAACAGCACGGTGAGTGAGCTTATCAAGGACTTTTCTCAGCAGTTCCCAGGTTTTCTCAACTCCATCTTTACTTGGGTATCTCACTTTTTCTTTGCATAAGAATGAAGGCGTTTGCTCCCTTTGCAGAACGTAAGGGGAAATCAGCTCTGTTGATAGTGATCAGCACATGACTGCCGTGGAAGTAAGTTGACTAGTGGTGACGGTCTGCCTCTCTGTAGCACAGGAAAGGAAAAGAAATCAGGTTTAAGCGACTGGAATGGTTCCTACATGATGCGTGGCGGCAGCAGCGTGACAAGGTGCGCCTCAGACGACTAGACGTGAAACCTCATGGTTTGGAAGTGCCCGATGAACATTCCTTGGCCTTTGTTGTACGCATCCAGAGGTAGGTCACTTGCTAAATGATGCGAGGCTGTGGGCAAACTAGTGATTCGGCTTCAGATCCCTTTCTAGGGAGGTGAGGTGACAATAGGCCTGAGGCCACTAAGGTCAGTTGTGCCGGGAATTCAGGGTTGAGCACAGCATAAGTTTTGTCTTTGAGGATAAGGAAACTGATCTTAGGCAGATATACACTATGTGCTGTGAGGGTTAAGTTCTGCATTGGTGGGGGCGGGGGACAATGTGTATACCGGTTGAAGACACTTCTAAAGCAGGAGTTGGAAGCAAACATGTCAGGACTTCACCAGTGTTAGGGAAAGACTTTCCACGGGAGCTGCAGACAGTCCTGAAGTGGGGAATCGGGGCATCTTTCTAGGAACAACCAGGGTGATGTGGATGGAGCATAATCAGTGCTCAGGAGAATGACATGAAAATTGGTTTTTGTTTGTTGCATTTTTAAATTGATTTTAGAGAGAAAGGGAAGAGAAACATTAATGAAGAGAGCTAATGGTTGGCTGGTTATCTCCTGCACTGATCCACACTGAGGATCAAGCCTGCAACCTGGGCATGTGACCTGGTTCATAGGTTGATGTTCAACCACTGAGCAACACTGGCCAGGCATTTTTCCTTACTCGTTCCTGCTTGCACATACAACTCTGCGTCTTCCTGTTTCCCCTGCCCAATCACCCAAACCAGAAACCTGTGTATTTTAAGTATTTATTAGCCTAGTTACCAGCCCTCCTATACTGCCAATAATCTTATTTCCTGGGCTATCACTTTAGTTTTCTAACTTTCCTTGCTTCTGGTGTCACATTCTCAGATCTGTCCTCTGTACCCAAAAAGAAATCTGATCCTGTCTTCTTTACTTAATATTCTCCATTGCTTTTACTGTCCACAGAAGCAAGTCCCGCTTCCTTAGCTTGATATACATAGGCCTACACCTCCCCACACACACCACAAATTCTGGGACCACCTCTGTTCCCATAGCACAGTGGTCAGCAAACTCAGTCAACAGAGCCAGATATCAACAGTACGACGATTGAAATTTCTTTTGAGAGCCAAAAACCTACTTCTGTGCATGGGCCACGAAGTTTCAATCACACTGTACGTGCACACCCGAATGTGGTATTTTGTGGAAGAGCCACACAAGGGGCCAAAGAGCTGTGTTTTGCCAGCCACTGCCTCAGCACCCCAGGCATTGCTGCACATTGTGTGGAAATGACCCTCTTCCGTAACTGCCTCCTCTGCTGAACTCTGTAAGGCACAGTCTGTGTCTTGCTCTCACTGTGTCCAGCATTGGCTTACATCTCACAGGTGCGGGCTGGGCTGACAAATGAAACAGAGCCTGACTTTCTCTGCTCTTCATCTCAGGATCAGAGGGGTGAGCGTAATGGTACAGAAAGCCATTGCAAGGCTTCGCCTGAAGAAGATTTTCAGTGGTGTCTTTGTCAAAGTGACCCCCCAGACCATAAAAACGCTGCGCACAGTGGAGCCTTATGTGACCTGGGGGTGAGTAAGGCTTGAGTGTGTGTGGGCTCATTAGGTTGTATCTGAGCATGTTGAGAACATTCGGGTGCACAGGGTACTGTTCTCCAAGGCTCCCCGTTGCTGTGTTGAAAGAACATTTTGCTGTGACCACAGTCACCAGAAATCAGTGGCCAGCCATAGGAACCTTGGAATATGGGGCAGGTAGAGCAAGGGGACACCGTGCTGCTGGTGATGTGCGTGGGTAGTACCAGGCAGTGTTTGTTCCTCTGGGCCACCGCTAAGTACAGTGGGTAAAACAAAAACTAATTATTGGAGTCTTAAAGCAGAACTAGGAGCTGTGTTTGTGTAAGAGTAATGTTCCTTCAAACATTAAAACCCAGCAAAGACTTGAATCAAACTCTTGCGCTATCTTGAGTAGAGGGTCACCTAAGGCCTAAGTCCTAGACTCTAAGCCAGGAATTATTTTTGTCTGGAAAATAAACTTTTGGCTGGTAACATTTATGTCCATAAATTGTAATCTCTAATTGGATAGTCAAGCCGCTCAGGTTTTTTTACCCTCTTCACTGGGTATGCCTTCACATCCCAGCTTCGGTGTGATTGCAGGACGCTTCATGGAGAGGGGAAGGGGCAGTTGGGCGGATCTCTCCTCAGCCAGGCTGCAGGACTGAGTGGCAATGGAATGCAGTGTGCCAGGGGACAACTAAGGCTGTTCTTTATTCTGCCTCGCTTAGATTTCCAAATCTGAAGTCTGTCCGGGAGCTCATCTTGAAACGTGGGCAAGCCAAGGTCAAGAATAAAATCATCCCTTTGACAGACAACACAGTGATTGAGGAGCATCTGGGTGAGTACTGCATCTTAGGGATAAGTTTTGGCAAAAAGCAAGGCTCTGGGGTCCTGTGTGGGATCCAGATTATGTTCTTGAGATCCCAGGAACCCGCCCGAGCGTCCAGTTCTGGTGTATGAGAGCCTCCGTGTATGCTGGGGAAATGTCGAATAACCGCCCTTGTGTTTCTTAGGGAAGTTTGGTGTCATTTGCTTGGAAGACCTCATTCATGAAATTGCCTTCCCGGGGAAGAATTTCCAGGCGATCTCAGGGTTCCTGTGCCCTTTCCACCTCTCGGTGGCCCGCCACGCTCCCAAGAACAGAGTGGGCTTCCTCAAGGAGGTGGGCACCCCTGGATATCGAGGTGAACGCATCAACCAGCTCATCCGGCAGCTGAACTAGACCAGGTGAGGTGCGGCCGCACCTGCCCTGTGGCTGGCTTTCTGGCCTGGGCTTTGCCACTTACAAATCCTGTTTGCAGGTATTTGAGAGGAACTTTGGCACTGGGGGCGCGAGGAGGCTGGTATTTACAAGTCTAGTGGATGGAGACCTGCTTGGAAGGGCGAATGCCTGGTTAGGACATGGGACTGTGCGTTCCAAGAGTTACAGGCTAGAAAATGTTGAGCAGTGAAAAAAAATCTCTGGATTGGTGTGGTTATTTAGCTTAAAGTGGGGAGAGGGGAATACTAAAAACTAAACAGGAAGGATTTGAAGATCTGAACAGTATTTTGTTGAAGGAGTCTGAACTCTGAAAGTGCTCTTTATTGTGGTTAAGTACTCTCAGGTGCCAGGTCACAGTTCATTTGAATTAACAAACTTGTGTTTTCCTTCCTCCAGAATACCTGAAAGCACACTGCATTGGAAGCATGTGTTTGTATTTTGGAATTATCCAGTATCTTCAAAGAAGATTATTTTCTGCTGTAGCTTCAGAAACCGGAGGGGAAGGGCCAGGGAAACATGGTGGTGATGTCCACTTCCACAGGAAAAGTCCAGTGTGTTTCCCACGGTGGCCACTGCTGCCACCTCTGAAATCAGCCCAGGGCTCCTGCCGTGGAGGAGAGGGGCCTGTGTCACATCTCTACCCAAGCATGGGCACGGCGGCGTGGACCCAGCCCAGAGCATACTGAACTCGGGGTTCCTGTTGCCTTGTTTGGAAAGAACTGAAATACATTTAGAGGAGCACAAAAACGGGGCTCAGTTGTCTCTGCTGTGTCCGTGGCCGAGCTTTTCAGTGACAGCTTTGAAAGCGCTCAGGCTTGACTGGCTCTAACTGTATCTGGTGGCTTCCTTACCCTAGCTCAGGATTTTAACCTAATGGATTTGTGAGAAGGGAAGGGCCATTTTCCCGGAAAAACATGCATACACTTCAGTTTTTGCTCGGGTTTAGGGTGTTCATAGAGTCTTCTGAGGGACGCAACTTTCAGGAGAAAAGCCCTGCACTCAGCATTGGTTGCCCAGGCCTGGCCTTGCCAATCTGGTTCCCTGTCCTGTGGAAGGCCACGGCTTACAACTCACCTTTTCCCTTCAGGCTAGTGGGTGTTTCCTGCTAGGAACACAGTGATAGAGAGTGAGCCCCTACACCGTCTTTAACTTGGGGTATTGTCCCCCATTTATTTCTGTTGGGGCTTCACAGTCAATTTTCTGGTTTCCCTCATGATCAGTGCTCTTCTTTTAAATCAGGGGGAAAAAACCATTTTCTTGGTTTGGCATGGATGAAATTGGCACTATTTAGTCTTTTAGGTCCTGGGCAAGCTTAGTTAAATCCTTTTCTTGCATATTCTAAGCTGCAGGCCCCTCCGGAAATATTGCTCTCTATCCTGCTTGTAATGCTGTGATAGTCCAACATTAGGACACTAGTGCTCCTGGGATATTACACTTGAAAAGGGTCTGATCCTGTCTATGTTGTCATAAGTGACCCTCTGTCATTCAGTTGTCTCAGCCTGTCATCTAAGCAGCTGGTGAAGGTGTGCCAGGGCCAGGTTAAGACTTGAAAATATGCTTAGCCAGTGTCGCCTGGTCCCTTAAGATTAGCTTTGCTGCAGTTTTGGCTCATTGGACCCTCAAACATAACAGACTGATGCCTCAAAGTGTGCCAATGTGTAACTGCCTCAAAGTGCCAGGTTATGAGGTAACTAATTAGGTTGGTTGGCTCAGAAGTTAACCTGCCAGGAATAGATGTTACTCTTGCACTAGAGAGCATTGTGAAATCAGATTAGTGATGTATCAAAACTCATGGGAAAAGAGCATTGTGGAAGCCCAGTTTGTATCCCAGATCCGTCTTACACTAAATATGGGAATAAGATTTTCACTCTTGCCTATAAAATGGGGCTAATAAGCCTGTCTGCCTCACATGGTTGTTAAAAGGATTAAGCAAAATAAATTTTTCATTTAGAATTTTGTATCCTATCTAATAAAGAGGTAATATGTAAATTGACCACTCCAACACAAGATGGCTGGCAGGGGAGGGCAGTTGTTGGGGATGAGGCCTGCATGGGAGGGCAGTTGTGGGCGACCCAGGCCACTGGGAGATTAGTTGGGCATGATTGGGCCAGCAGGGGAGGGCAGTTTGAGGCAATCAGACCAGCAGGGGAGCAGTTTGGTGTCAATCAGGCTGGCAGGGGAGTAGTTAGGGGGTGACCAGGCTGGCAGGCAGAAGTGGTTAGGGACAATCAGGCAGGTAGGCAAGCAGTTGTGGGAGGGAGATCCAACTGCCCGTTTAGTCAGACATTCCTCGAGTGGTCCCAGATTGGAGAGGGTGCAGGCTGCACTGAGGGACACACACACCCTGCACCCCCCCCCCCCCCCGCACGAATTTCATGCACTGGGCCTCTAATACTACCCTGTTTCCCTGAAAATAAGACAGTCTTATATTTTTTCCTCCCAAAGTTGCGCTAGGTCTTATTTTCAGGGGATGTCTTATCTTTCCATGCGCTAGGTCTTATTTTCGGAGGATGTCTTCTTTTCGGGGAAACAAGGTATATATAAAAGCCTAAGCAACTAGAACTACTGGTTGACCAGTTGCTATGACATGCACTGACCACTAGGGGACAGATGCTCTAAGTAGGAGCTGTCCCCTGGTGGTCAGTCCCTCACACCTCCCCATAGGTCTGGATCTCTGGCCAGGCTGAGGGACCTCACCTTGTGTGCACCAGGCCTTTAGTAAATAAGATCATAAAAATTGTGCATGTCTGTATGGTGTACCATGGTCTACCACCCCCCAAACAAGCGGGACTGTCCTTATTTCTGGGAAAAGCAGGAAGAGAAGGTGCAGGGAGTATGAGCCAAGGGTTCTGGGTTTTGATTGGCTGTTCTTCAACGCCTTAGGATTTCACTTGCTTAATGTATTTAAGTCATTCTGAGGCCAGATTTGACCATCACACCTTTTACTAACTGTCTGGAGTGGCTGTCCAAAATCAAAATGCCACTTGAATCCTAAATTCACTTCCACAACCATCAGAATAAGCTGAAGCAATATGGCAACAGACATTACCAACATTTCTAAGTTCTCTGTGTGTCCCAAGTTGCACTTTAAAAATGAAAACACATGGATGCACAGCAAATAGTGTGAGATTTGTTTCCATTACATTTAAGGGCTTTTTAAGATTTTTGTGAGTACGTGGTACAGAAATACGGACACGAAACAACCCCGTGGTGCTTCCGAGACGCTTAAGTCCAGTTGAGACAGGTCAGGGCGGAAGCACGAAAGACAGTAACGGGTCAGCACCCAGTGTTCAGTCCGAGCTTGTGCGGGGCAGTGGCCCTCCAGATCTCACAGCTGCAGCCGGGTCTCGAGCCCCGTAGGAAGACGCAGTCCTGGGTCCGCCGCGCCGGGCTCCTCCGGGTGTCCCTCCATCCCCACCCGGGGTCCGGGCCCGGGGCTAGGGCGGCGGCGGGGCGGCGGCCGGGCCGGCGGCCTCCCAGGGCTTGGGCCTCCGCGGGAGCCGGGACGCCGTGGGCTCGCCGTGGGTCGCGGCGATCTGGCGCTTTTCCAGGCCCGGGAGCGCCCGGCCCTGCTGCACCAGCTGCAGGAGCTGCGCCAGGGTCGGCGAGGCCGGGGCTGGCTCCGCGGGCGCGGGAGCTCGGCCGGACCCGCGCGGACTGCCGGGCGAGGGCGAGCCCATGGCCGAGGGCGCAGGGGACCGGCGTGTGGGAGGCGAACATTTCCGGGAAGTGTGGGTGCAACCACCGGCAGGGGCCACAGACCGTACCAAGCCGGCCAGGCAGGGGGAGCATTGAGAATCAGGACTAGCTCTGCTCAGAAACGCTGGACACACACACACACACACACACACACACACACACACACACACACACAGCTAACCCGCCCAGGCCACGCTGGACACACACACACACACACACACACACACACAGCTAACCCGCCCAGGCCACGCTGGACACACACACACACACAGCTAACCCGCCCAGGCCACGCTGGACACACACACACACACACACACACACACACACACACACACACACACACACACAGCTACCCGCCCAGGCCTCCACAGTGGCCGGCTTTGGGGGAAACCCGGAGGCTCGCAATAACTGAACGCGCATGCGGACGGGCTGATGCGGCCAGAAGACCCCCGTTTGTGCATGCACCCCCTTTCATGCACACGCAGCAGTGCCCCACGTACCGGTACCGGGACACCTGCACATCACAAGGCGGGTCATCACGTCCTGGACCCGCAGCACCGGACCTAAGTAGCCGTGGAGCTTCTCCGGGGGCCCCCAGAGAGCTGGGAATGAGTGACAGCACTGCGGAGCCTGGCCAGAGCCTCGCTTCCACCAAGACTCCCTGGTGTTCCCCAGCGGGTGAGAAAAGAGGAAGCCAGGCCAGGCGAGCCCCAGTCCCTCTGGCTGCTGGGAAAGCCAGGCCCATGGTTCTCAGGTTTCTGAGTGTATCGGAAGCCAGCCTGATGTGGCCACACCACCTTCGTAATGGAATTAAGTTCATTCCATTAACAGGACACACTAGCGCCATGTGTCTCCTGAGGACACCACGGATGTAGGAATACTACATCTCTTCTGTCGTCCTCCTGCCAGAAATGTTCCCTCTGCACCTCGCTTTGAGGAAATGAACAGACAAACCAAAGGGAGATCATCCTGCATAAGGACTGCTGGACACTTCATAAATGTTAATCTCGTGGGAGGTCACTCTGGAGCCCGTGGGCGGGCCAAATACCGAGCATCACCACGTCCCTAGAAGAAGGAGGGTGTTTGAGTCGGAGGAGATGCGATGATGGAAACGGAGTCAGGCAGATTGAGGGTATATGCTGCCGGCTTTGGAGATGGAGGAAGGGGCTCCTGGAAGCTGCTGGCCACAACGTGGTTCTAGCCCAGTGATCCCCATTTCAGACCTCTGGCCTCCGTATTGTGAGATTACAAATACGTGTTGTTCTGCCCTAGCCAGTTTGGCTCAGTCGGATGGAGTGTCGGCCTGCAGACCAAAGGGTCCCGGGTTTGATTCTGGTCAAGGGCACAAGCACGTACCTCAGTTGCAGGCTCCTCCCCGTCCTGTCAGGGCTCATGCAGGAGAAAACCAATCAATGTGTTTCTCTGATGTCACTATCTCTCTCTCTTTCCCTCTCTCTTCTACTCTCTCTAAAAATCAATGGGAAAATATCCTCGGGTGAGGATTAACACACACACACAAAAAAAAAAAAACACACAAATTTGTGTTGTTTTTAAAACTTTTTTGAATGTCATAAAAAAGATAGGAAGGGAGGAAAAGATTGAGGAAGCATGTCAGATTAAAGGAGATATGAAAATGCAAAGTGTGATCCTGGATTGGATCCAAGTTGGATGAGAAGTCAGTCATTATGTTTTAAATATATTTTTTATTGTTGATAATATTACATTTGCCCTCCTCCTCCCCCCCTTCTTCCAGCCCCGAACTCCCTTTCCCCCCAGGTCTTCACTACCCTATTACCCATGTCCATGGGCTATGCATGTAAGTTCTTTGGGAAAATCAGTTATAAAAGTCATTTTACCCTTGGGAAAATTTGAGTATGGTCTGCATATTAGATGATATGCCCCCATGCCCGACCCCCTCCCCCCCCTGATCTGCCAGGATACATTCCAAGACCTCTGGTGGATGCCTAAAACCATGGACAGTACTGAACCCAATATCTGCTATGTTTTACCCCATATGTGTGCACATACCTATGATAAAGTTTAATTGATAAATTCATCTCAGAGATTAGCAGTATAACTAATAAAATAGAACAATTATAACAGTAAAAGTTACGTTAATGTGGCCTCTCTATCTGACAACTGAGATGGCTACTAAGTGACTAGCAGGCGGGCAGCGTATTGTATGGACACGCTGGGCAAAGGGGTGATTCGTAGCCTGGGTGGGACGGTGCAAGACAGCTCCACATCTTATCACAGGTTAAGGCTGGTGCTTTAAAACATGAATTGTTGTCTGGACGGTGTGGTTCAGTGGTTGAGTGTCGACCCATGAACCAGGAAGTCAAGGTTTCATTCCTGGCCAGGGCACATTCCCCAGGATGTGGGCTCGATCCCCAGTAGGGGGCGTGCAGGAGGCAGCAGATCAATGATTCTCTCTCATTGTTGATATTCTAGCCCTCTTTCCCTCTCCCCACCTCTCTCTGAAATCAATAAAAACATGTTTTTTAAAAAGCCAACAATTTGTGAATTGTTTATTTCTGGAATTTTCTATTTAGTATTTTCAGACTATGGTCGCCCTCCAATAACTAAAACTACAGAAAAGGAAGAAGGGGAAATTACTGGGACATTGATTTACTGAGAGCACAAATTGTGGTAAAATTGCTAAGAATTGTTTCATCTAAATGGTTTGAAACTTGTCAGAATAAAAAGCTGGACTTGAGAAGCTAGTCTGGTGAAAACTGGCCACACGGAGTGCTGTACAATAAAGAATTTGACTGGCTTTTTCCCCTCATTCCTGGGAGGGAGACCAAGTCCTTGGAATTTCTCAGATATTAGGGGTGATATTCATGGGGGGCCCTGATAGTTTCTACCAATGAGGTGATTCGTGGTGGCCCCTCGGAAGTTTCAGGATTGAGGCTGGCCACGCCAGAAAAACCAACCATGTTATGACAGGGTCGGGGTTTGAGCCATGTGAGGTCCAGGGAGAAGAGAGAGCCTGGGGATGGAGTTCAATTGGCAGCCAATGATTTAATCAACCGTGCCTGAGTCAGGAAGCCCCAGCGCACACTCTGGTCACAGAACTCAGTGGAGCTCCCTGATCGGTGAGCGCACTGAGGTGTCAGGGAGGCAATGCGCCCGGATTCCATGAGGGGAAGGCCCAGAAGCTGTGCGTTCAGGACCCTCCCAGACCTCGACCTATGCGCCTCTTCCTGTGGCTGGTCCTGCCGATGCATGCCCTCATAAAATTATTCATAAGAATGGCACTTTCCTGAGTTCCGTGAGTTGTTCTAGTTGATTATTGAACCTAAAGGGGGTTGTGGGCATCCCCAATTTTTACCCCGTCACTCAAAAGTGCCTGTGGGCTGGGAACCCTTCTTGAATGTGCAGCTGGCATCTGAAGCAAGAGCAGTCTTGCTGGGGACCGGGCCCTGTAACTTGTGGGGTCTATGCTAACTCTAAGGGATTGGCACTAGAATTCAATTGCAGTACACCAGCCGGGTTTTTTTTTAACAGAACTCTGAAGGAAGGGTGAGCAATCAGAACATCTTGATGGCGCCTTGAAGACGTCCCTCATCCCAACCCTTTGCACTCCGAACCATTCTGGACATTGGCTACCAGCTACTCTCAACGCTACTTTGTGGCGGAAACGTGCATTTACAGACCCTCGTATTATTTAGTATAATTTTGGAACCAAGTAACGTATTATAATGATATTGGACTTATATGAATTGGGTGACATCGAGGAATGTATATTTGCAAAAAACACAATATTTTATTGTTTATAATTTTGTACAGTATGATAAGTTTCTAATTGTTATTACTAACTGACAAGATGATATTTACCAAAATAGCTTTCACCAAACAATTTATTCACTAAGAAAAGAATCGCTTTTTCGATTTTCTCACTCGTTAGATCTATGTGCACTGCTCGAAGCTTCAAACCAAAATGAGCTCAGCTTTGAAAATCTTTTCCTCCAGATGTAGACTTGTTTGTAATTATATATCTCACTATACAGTGCGCGCTATGTTCGAAAACCGACCTTTCTTCTACAAACTCCCTTTATCGCTCTTTTCAAGTGGCGTCGCAAAGTGCTCAGACCGTCGTAAGCACGCATCTCACGTTCTCGTCCGACACAAAACCCGCTGACATTTCTTGTATATATCTTAGTAATTTTACGATATTTTGATTTAATTTCTTGTGCCATTTCAAGATAAAACTTCAGGGAAACATGTATGTCTCAAAAAGTTGCGTTGAAATAACTCGATTCCCCGAAATCACTAATAAACTGCAATGTCCCCCGAGAGGGGACAACCGAGTGATATGCTAGAATTCCGATGTCCCCTGAGAGGCAGAGAAGGCACCTAAGGCTGAGGACTGGCCCCAGGGTGTCATTGGGTTGCCAAGTTGCAGTGCTAATTCAATGCTTAACCCTCTAGTCTCTTAGGCTAAGATAAGGGCATTGATGGGAAATGGGTGGGACACTGAGATGGGATGGGGCATTTGGATTCCATGGTTGAATCCCCAAATTCTCCTGAAATAGTCTTGTCTGTGGAGACAACATCCTCTGTAGGTCTCCTGTCTCCCAGGACATCAGCCCCCAGAGCCCTTCCCGCCTCCATCCCTCCTTGGCTCCAGGCCCTTCGTGAGTTAGATCCCAGCACAGCCTGCACAGGCCCACGCTAAGAGGAGAATGCCCAGACAGACAGAGTTACAGGTCTTGCCAACCGGCCTTGGCAAGAGCCATGGGAACATGTGTGGGAAACAGACCCAGGAGGGTGGAATGTAAGGCTCAGCGTGGCCAAGCTCATGGCTATGGACGCTCATCAGGATTTAGTATTTAATGTATTGGCTTGAGCACCTGGGAGAGGCATTAATAAAAGCCTGAACTTCATGGCAGCCTGTAGTTAATAAACTTGAAATGCCAGGATTTCCCTGGCATACTCCAGAGGAAGGAATCTGACATTCCAGAGAGATGGGAGTGAT